AATTCACACAGCCATTAGCTCCATCGCTGCAGCGTCAAACCTCAAATCAGCTCGCGTTATCGCGTCTTCGATCCGCCAGCACACACGTTACCCGGAACTTTAGAAGCCTGCCATGCTGAACGTGATCTTTGCGTTTGTTGCATGCCAATAAATCGCAGACAAGAGACAAACAATCATTCAGATTGAATGACTTACCCTCAGAGAGGCATTAGTTAAACAAACTATACAGTGTAAACAAAAGACATCCCTCGTGTTGTGGGGTGGCTGCGACAAATGGCAGTTTTCAATTCCACAGGCAAGTATATAAACTAATACCATCTCAATGGATTTAAATGGCGTAAGTGCGCCGCCCCCTTGCTTCTGAAAGCCTAAGACCGTTAAGGCCTTTGAATAATGGCATTTTAGCTGATAGTAGAACCTAACTTAACGATGTGGTTCTGCACTGCAGGTTTTCAAATACCGTGTGGCTGTGACCTGTCTTCATGGTCCTACAGGTCTCTAGAACCAAGAAGACGGACGATGTACCCTTGCTGACGGTTATTCAGTCTGTAAACCACATACTTTGTCTATTTTGAGTAAGAACTAACCAAACACAAGTTTTGAACGTTGATTAAGCATGGGAACTTTGCACATAGTCTTAAAAATTCAAGCTCAATACGGCTTAGACAACCCTAAAAGAGGTCACTTTCATCACTTTAATTCATTTGTGCTGCTTAGCGGTTGTCGATGATTTTGAACGCTGTACATTGCGGTTCAGGTTTCATTTTGAAACTATGATTCCAAAATTTGGCACTGATATGAACCTTAACTATGACTTTGCGGTTTCTTCCATCTCACGTCGCTGTGACTATTTGATGGGTTCATTTTTTGATTACAGAGTGACAATATTTCAATATGCTGAATGCCTGTCTCAAGCGGGTCAAACGATGGCAGCAAGAGTCTACAAATCAGGCTGAAAAGATGACCAGCAGGTTGAGAATTAAAGTCCATTAATTGGTTAATGTACCTAATAGCAGTACAGATGTTTCTAAGCAGATACATCTTTGGTAAACTGTCTAAAAATCAAACTGCGCTGCAGCACAAAACGACCAAGTAATGGAAGAGATATCTGAATTATTCATACTACACATGTTGGATCTTCGATCCGATTCATCTTGGAAAAGGGGATGCAGTTACGACTTCGCTTTTCCGTACTTAGCTACCGACTGTGAAACATGTATTTGATTGTTTATCATTTTGACTCAACCACCCTGCTAATCTGAGTAGGCTGAGAATTCTGGCATTTGCATATAACAAGTTAACCGCCACGAACCATGATATGGAAAGAGATTTTGTGACTGTTGTCAAGAACTTCTGTCTGTCAATAATATTATAATCTGATGCCTGCAACCACAAAGGTACGGCATTTGCGAACGATGGTTTCGTTGGACAAGGACGTCGATGGCGTCTTTCGTACATACCTGGCTGCAGTCGAAAAAGAAGCTCTGAAGCATGTCATAGAGAATGATGTGCCAAAGTTGGAGCGGATAACACAGTCACTGCAGCAAATTGACAGAACAATTATTTCAACCGGTGAGGCATAATTAATACAGACAAATCTACTTAGTAAACTCTGTTTATCTTTGGACAACACTGATAACAAAAGCGCAATGGACTGTCAGACAAGGAGCACAAAACGGGATGTATACATGTTTGTGGATTGTAATTAAAATCATCAGTCAAACATCAAAGCTGATGACCAAGGAACAACGACGTCATCGACTCGATAATATAATTTTAGTAGCACGTTGAACTGCAATTAATAAATAACGAGTCGACGGACAGGGGCAACGTTTCATTATTCACTTATGAAACCCACTAGGTTTTTCTTCAACAATGAATTTCAGCACATTCACCGATGACAAACGGCTAATAACTGTATTCACTCTCCAGCACTGTACAATCACGTCACTTGATTTGTCAGAAACGTAGAGTCGTAAGCAAAAATAGACGACCCTCGCTGATTTCTACATTTTCTCTTCATGTACACAACTACAGTCAGAAAAGCGTTCCTTGACGAAGACCAATGTGCGACTGACTCGATGATAACTGATGAAAACTGAATGTATGAAAAAACTTATAAATAATTTTTCACACTTGTAAGAAATGCCGTACACATTAGAAGAACGGCAGACGAACGTTGACTCGCTGAAAGCCGGGTCACGTAGAAGTCTCTGTAAACATGTTTACATCTGTGATCGTGTCGTGATGATTGTTGGCTTTGCCTGTGCTTGTAGATACGGTACGGTCTGATATCCTTTAAGACATTCGTAGAAACATCTTACTACGCCGTTCAATGTTTCGGGCAGACTGAAATTTTTGTTTTCTGTTCATGGTGTTATTCACAGCTGGTGTAAACCATTATCATCAATCGGTAGTAATCAGGTGGTCTGTGGCAACAGATCCATCACTGCGAGGCTTTTAGGAATCCTGGTTCTCTTACCGTCAGCCTTACATAAGTTCCTTTATATTCGCTGGTCGTTATCATCAGAGCCTATGAGTTTTCGACATCCAGAACTACAGGTTGAAAAATCTATTCGAAAGCGGTTGCAGCTACAGTCGGTTAATAAGACGCCAGTGCTTGTCACACTAAGGATGCCACATATTTCATAACGTTCAGAAATGGCGACTTATTACCATCGCCTTGTTGCGAAACTTGCAAAACAGCAACAACCGTCATGCGTTCACTGCGAACGACTGATAAACAATGGCAAACCGGAAACAACCTTGCAAATTCACTCAAATTATTCATTTTCGTTCAAACATGTTAAAATAACGCTTCAACATTTTCATTGAAAATAGGCGGGAAACAAACAAGGACATTGATATCGAGTGCTACGCTGCCCCGGCACGAATCCTCGTGTACACAAAAGAGCCGAGGGTTCCTTCAATGGAAGAAATATGACAAAGATTTGAAGGGATTCGTTTCAACAGGTGGCTGAGAAACAACAGTTATTAAAAATAAGGTGTCTGATTTTAAACAGTATATTTCTGTTATTCGACCACTGGTTTTCAAATCCGGCATTCTTGTTGAGTCGCGGGATAGCAGAGTCAGGAGGTTTCTCCAGTGATCCCGCTAAAGTGCCAATTGAACAGGTTCAACAGCGTGCACTGTGAGGTTAAACAAAGCCTAATGCTAAAATATTCTATGCTTCCCAACCCCTTGACTGTCTTCATTGTGCCTTTCGAGACTCCCTTCTGATATTCTTCTAACAGTGGCACCGAAAACCATCACAGTATTATTTTTTGGATCCAAAAGATTGTTTAAGAAGCATACGCTTGTTTTCAAATTCATTTTCATTTATTTTCGTTGCAGTACAGCCGTGATCACCACCTTTAATTATTGCTGCACCTGACGGCAAAAATACTAATGTGGGACCATAACTGAACACGTTTCTCTACTGCCAGATGTACCTCTCGTGTCACCAGGAAGTTCTTTTCTAACCTCCAGGCAGCAGGCCATCCCACTTGAACCCGCAGCATTAAGTGACAAATCTGATTACGCCGCTTTTAAAGAGCTCCCACCTTGGTTTGTGCATCAGCGATTATCATTAGGTCATAAAAGCGAATGGAAAAACGAAGGTCACTGGTCAGCATTGCATTTACATACTCAAACAACTGCTGCATATCTCTCATCAGAGTTTTAAGCTTTCTTATTGTTTTTATGGGATTATCAAAAAATGTTAATGGCGCTACTAATATTTGTTATGCAATCTTTTTTGCGTTTTATGCCTCCATACAAAGATGTTAATTGCGCATATCGAAGAAATACTTATATGGAGAAAATGTGTATGGTTAAATATAAAACTTGCGGAATTACAGGTATAAGATTTCCATTTGTCGTGCACTACCGTAGTATCAGTGTACAGTAAGAAACGGATTTTCCCTTTTTTACCTTGTACGCTTTCGCCGTTAAAATACGAAATGATTGATCTTATTAATAATAATTATTAAAATATGAGGATGTTAGAAATTAAAATTAATTATACAAGATTTTAACGGCGAAAGCGTACATTGTAAAAGTGGAAAAATTGATTTCACTTATTTGAGATTATTCACTATCAATCCAACGTAAGACGGGATTCAGAGCATTCAGACAGTCATTCAATCACCATAAAGGATAACTGTTCACTTCCATGAAGGAGATGATTTTCATCAATATTTTTTATCTGATACAACTTTTTTCTTCCTGTTTGC